TGCTGAACCCCAGGATTCAGAAAGTTTCAAAGAAATACCTGTCTCATAAAACTACACTAATTTAGCCTACACATATTTGTTTTGGAATAAGAGTGTTTCTGCAAGTATAGAAAATAGCATTTTGACTTGTGCTTTCCTTGAATTTACATCTTTGAAACCAAGTATTTCAATAATTTAAATTGGAGTGTTTGGCTGCCTCCTGTTCTGTTCTTCATTTTTCTCTATTTGGGAAAACATGAAATTAATATTACCTTAATTAGCAATTCAACGATGATCTCTTTGTCAGGGCCTTAGTTTTGTTGGCTGACAGCACACATCAAATGTGGAGCTTACAGGCCCTTTAATAGTCACCTGATTATCTGCAAGGTGTTAAGCAATTTCTTTTGGCAAACTTTAAAAAACTGGTCTTTCCCTTTAACTCACTCTGCCATGATTGTCTGCCCTGTATAAAATGAGGTCATCTCAGCAGATAAGGACCAAGATTTAGGACAATAAAAAAAGAAAAAAGTCAATGTTCATCAAAATATATGATGAAATCTGCAGTTATTGCAGTGACTCTTGGAGGGGGTATCCTTTAGCCCTGTTGGATCCCACTGAATGTTGGCCATAGGTGGAGAGGCTATAAGGAAAGAAAAAAAACTGTGGGGAGAGATATTAGGGGGAAAAGATGCACCACAAGAACCTGTGCACCAAGCACCCACACCAGGCCTCTGGTGCACACAGGCACATAGGCTCCTGCCCCCTGGCTCCCTGCCACAGCAAATTCCCTAAGCAAAATCCCTCTGTTTGCTGCCATTGTGTTCACTGCTTCAATGGTTTGCTTGGAGCTGTCTTTTTATAAGGCTGCCTATCCTAGCTCCAACTCTCAGTTGCCTAAACTAGCCTCATCCAGAGCCAGCCCTGTCACTCAGTGAAATGCTCCAGAAGGGGGAAGAAAATAAAAAGAGAGAGAGAGAAAGAAGGAAGGGGTGACCGACCGACTAACCGACAATCACACCCAAAGTGGGGGACCCCACTCCAGGCACTAGGCAAACAGTTTAGCACCATTCAACCACCCCAAGTCACTAGCACAAGAAAAGCCTCCTCAAGGCAGTCCCAGACCTGAGCTACTTATCCCAGAGCCCCTATTCTCTGCTTACTGCTCATTTTACTGCCCTCTCATCCCAGGGGGCTATTTATAAGGCTGCCTAGCTTAAGTTCAGCCCTCAATTCAAGTTTACTGCAAAAGCTTTTCCCTTTTAAGAACTATGTGGCGTTAGACACTCCTTTACCTCAAGCCCTGAGTCCAAACATCCCTCGTCCAAAAAAGTAAATAAATCTATGAATTTGATAAGAAAACCCTAGCCTAGGCAGAAGCTTTCCCCAAGAAGGGAGATAACAAAGATTCCACATAGTCCGCCAAACTTCATGGAGACTTTACAAAGTCTGACTTCTCCCCTTTTTTTTTTCCATACGGAAGGACTTGATTGCTGCAGTAATGGGTGGCATCATTGAAAGAAAAACCCTAAAATGGATGGATAAAAGGAATTGGCTAGAAGTTTTTGCTGTATTTGGTGTCCGTTTAGGTCAGCGATGTCAAACATACAACACGTGGGTTGGACCCAGCTCCTGGGTCTTGTAGTGACCCCACATTCAGCATGCGGAGCCAGTCTGGCATCTGGGCTGGACCTGGTGCCACCACCGTGACCACTGCCTGTGACACTGGATCCAGCCCATGCACCAAATGTCAGGTCTATCCCGGGGCTTGCACTGCCTGCCTACAGTCCAGGGTGCTGACAGAGGGCGCACACTGCATGTGGTACCCCGCTGGACAGCCCTGGGCACTGACTAGGGTGGCCACCGTAGAGGACATTCCAGTTTTCTGCTACTGTCCTCTACTGATACGAAACCCGACACCTTTCTGTCTTCTATTGTTCTGTCTTGAGAACAATTAATAGAAGACAGAGGACAACCAGACTGTCCTCTATGATGGCCACCCCAGCACCGACTCTGGCACCCACAGACAACCTGGTGCCCAGTCCTGACCAGCCCTGGCTTTTGGGGCCAGACCGATGGGGTGCCACATGCAGCACACGCCCCATGCCAGTCCCTGGATGCAGCCCATGTACTGCTGGCAGTGCGAGTCCCGGTGTGGGGTGACGCACACTGCCCAGGGCTGTGTGACACCCCCCCTTCCTGCCTCCCAGACCAATCATGAGCGCTGGCTCCAGAGTGGCCAACTGGATCTGCAGAGTGGCTCAGAGATCCTCATTGAGTCTGCAGGGCCAGATGAGCTTGACACCCCCAGTTTAGATTAAAGCAAATCCATGAATTTGTTTTAGCCCTGCTAAAGGATTCAGCACAGACTACATTTGAGTGGTTTATAATGCTTCAAAAAGATGTGCATTGACTCTGTAAATTTCTCTGGTCCAATCTGAGTTTCTAGAATGACCTCAGTGCATTTGTGTATCTGGTTTTCTAGATACTCTAGCTCAAAGGCTTCCTTGTAGGTTGAATGAAAGACAAATGTGTAGGATTTCTTTGATGGTTTGTATACACTATTTTTATTGCAGACAATGTCAAGACAAAGCAGGCAATTGCAACAGGAAGTGGAATTTACATTACTTGGCAGTCTGACCCAGATGTTAACTGCGGCTACACAGTAAAATGGTGTCGTTCTCCTGGGTGTGAACCCTATAGTGTGGACTGGGAAACATTTCCTTCAAATGCAACAGAAGCTGTGATAACATCTGGTGAGATATAATCAGTGTCTTTACAGAAACCTTTCAATTCATAGCTTGGATAGTGTGTAGTCTCTGAAAATGAAACAGGAAAAGTATCAATGAAAAAGATAAAAGATACTGCTTGGATTTATTTTAAACTCTATTTCTAGGCTAAGATTTCTTTTTACTGTTCCATCATGATCTGAGGTATCTAACTATTACATCTGGATTTAATTACCGTTGTTTTCTTTGCACTTGCAGAATGTTTTAGAGGTGCAGAAAAGGTAGCTGAAGCCCAAACTTCAGCCTGATGTCCTTATTTTTAAACATTTTACATGTCCTTCAGGTTTTAAGTGCAGCCCTGGGCTGCCCAGACATTTATGAAGGGAGGGGTATCAGGTTAATGCATTGTTCTCCTATAACTGAGTAAGAAAGGGCAATATCCATCTGTTGGCATGCCATAAACAATTGGCTCTTGTAGAACAGGGCACTTTCCAGGTATCTAGATGCTGGTGAGCAGATTAAGAAATCAAAATAAGTTTGCTGTTTTGAGAACAATGGTAGAGATACTGAGTAGAAAAGAAATTAACAAGGAAAGAGGGCACAGACTTTGCTAGAAAATCAGTAAATTAAAAGTAAAGTTCCACTCTAGCATCAGTGTTTTAGACTTGTTTATACAGGAAAGTTTTTTCTGAAATAAGCTTTCTGCTTTTATTGGTTCAGGTATAACTCATCTGAAAGAATACTTTCGGATCTGTGATATATGAGCTCCTTACCTTTTGAATTATTATTGCATCTGTGTAGCTTTCACAAAATGAGAGCATCTTATTCTAGGCAGGCATCCATGGTTCGGTATTTGAACATTGGACTCCAATTTCTAGAATCTTTCTCTTGTGTTGTGAGATGATACCTACTGGTATCAGATTAACAAATTCACCTCTGGCCTCAGTCCTACAATGAGATTCTTGAAGGCAGACTCCTATACTTATCCAAAGTCAAAGTTGGCTTCCCTGTAACTCCACACAGTCCTGGGCCCTGCCTCTGTGCAACTAAATGTGGGTTCAAGGCCTACGCTTTTGTTTCTACAAAGTATGTAGCTGAATACCTCCTGCACCTTTGCTGATGATTGAGGGCACTTGACATTGCAATTTTGTCCCCTTGTGTTAAAAAGAGAACAAGGACATATGTCTTATCAAGCTTAGTTCAAGGTTTGAGTTGGTAGTTACTTCGAATCACAGTGGTGTAGTAGGAGTCATCTGGCCGTTGCGTATCTAAGAAGGAGAAAGACAGCTTTGGAAGGTTTGGGGGTGAGCGTCTGTGGTAGCATCACAGATGTTTTCTGTTTTAAAGTGGTAAACAGCAGTTTGTGCCACTTCCAGGATTTTCTTATGAACATTATTTGTTTAGGACTTCCAAGTTGCTTTGAATGATCCAGATTGTTTACTGACTCCAAACTATACACAGTGACCCAGCTTTTAGAGGGATCAAAATAGGGAAAATATTTATACACGCATACCATATGGTCAAGTTATTGATGTTATTACTTAATGCATTTACATAAATAGGCATGTGAAAGTTAAAAGTACAACTTTTGTTAAGTAAATCCTTTTTAACAATGACAGTGTTCTTTCGCAGCTCTATTTCAGCCTGGTGTGAGATACAATTTTTCTCTCTATGCCTGTAAATCCAGTGGATATCAGTTATTGCAAAACATAACTGGATACATACAAGAATTGGGTATGTCCATTTTATTATTAAGAGCCTTTAGAAATACAAGATAAAATAAATGTGATTAATCTGCGATAGGTTTCACCAGATAAATTAGATGATAGTTAGAGAACAGAATCTCCTTAAGACCCATCTTCTTACATCCCCTAATGTATAGATATAAAGAGGTTTTAGTGTGTTTCTATTCACACTAGTAATTGTCCCTTTTCTGCAATGTAGCTGGTTTTTATTCTAATCTCTGAAAAGACAACTGATAGTCTGATGTTCGGAGTCAAAATGTAAACAAATTCAAGTGAGATATCAACCCCAAAAAGTAATTTTCAATAAATGCTATCATGGAGTTCCCTGTTTAGTATCTTTCTTTCTTCTGTGACTGATTTGTTCAGTTTTCAAATGGAAAAAATATTCTCCCCTCTGCTCCCAACTGCCAGGCCCAGACCTCTATACTGGACAGTAGTCCAGCTGGTTTGTTTCCATATTTCTGATCAAAAACAACAGAGGTCCCGAAACCCACATTATGCCATCTTTTATTGCATGAATGCAGCAGTTTTTTTAGATTTGGCTTGGTGATGCGTGTGGATTCCCACTTACAGCTAATAAGATAGTACAGCTGTCATCAGCTTAATTTGAAGGCAGTGCTGCTGTACAAATGAAGCTTTGACTATAGTGTGGGCTTCAGAAACCACTATTTCTATCTGCAGTGTTTGTGTATTTGCATTTTTTCCTTTTTGTCAAAGAGAAAACTAGACAGAGAAGAAATTGCAGTTATTGAGTATGTTAGCCCCCTAAACAACATGTGGGTCTGACATGAATTTAGGATAAACGTTTGTTAACTTTTATCTTTTCACAATTCACCCTACAGCTCCAAAAGTTGCACCTAATTTTACTGTAGAAGAAACCTCTTCAGATTCCATATTGGTAAAATGGGAAAACATTCCTGTTGAAGACTGCCAGGGATTTTTAAAGGGATATTTGCTTTTCTTTGCAAAGGGGGAAAAAGATCCTTTAAAACCAAAGTTATTGGAACCAGGTAAATACAACCCATCCCTCAACTTTCCTGTGAACTCTGAATACTTTGTGAGGAACAGCACTTATAGGGAAAAAGTTTAGTTACAATTCAATTAGTAATATTTGGTAGCAGAATTGGACTTTAAAAACTGCCAAAGACTCCAGAAGGGGGTCAACGACTAAAATACTAGCCATCATGTCAACAAGATTGACAAAGGTAAATTAAGTTACTAAATATCTTAAGTGAATGATATGATAAGGTGTTTTTCATCAGTGCTACAAATCTATTTTGACTAGGATGTGTCCAGTGTGCATGTGCAGTTTGAAGTGCTGCAGACCCATCTGTGCTGCCGCAGACCACCCATGCACACGTTCACTGTGCTGTGAATTTGCAATGCGGTCCAGTGTCAAAAAACCCGCAGCAGAAAAAAGTGGGGCAGTGCATATGGTGGCAGCATGTGCCACCCAAAACTGGAGCCTGGCCAGCCAGAGCCACACTCTGGCTGCCAATCAGACTCCATGCACTCAGATCACTGCTGCTGGAGCTCCAGGAGGACCCCAGGACCTCAGGTAAGGCTGCTGGGGCCAATCCAGTTGCTGGCCTCAGCCTCCCCTACCCCACCCAAGGCAACTTGCTGCATGCCAGAGTGCGCATGCACAGGCATTCCCCAGGAACAAGTAGTAGTGTCACATCTATGTGCTGCAACTATTTGATAGGGCTGTGCAAAGCTTCAGTAGCTGATTCGATTTGGAGGAGATTCGGCCCTATTCAGCAGCCAAATCTCTGAATCCGAATCGAATCAGAAGACCCATTAAAAGGTCTGAGTCAAATTGGAAGCCACTGAGTTTGGAGGGGCTGGAGGGACCCCCAGCTGCCAAAGCTGTGGGGTCAGGCACCCAGGTCCACAAACCCCTGTCCCCAACAGAAGTCAGCAGCTGCTGCAGCGGAGCAGAGTACAGAGCTGGCTCCCCACCTGCTGTATGCTCGGGCAGGTGGGGCTGGCTCCCTGCAGCTGCTCGCACTCCCGGGGGATGGGGGGACCCGCACTCCCCAGATCTGTGTACTGGGCAGAGGCAGAACAGGTGTGCACTGTGGGCTCGGGCTCCTGCCGTGCTGCTCTCCCCCAGGGCCTCTGCAGCCCATGGGTGGGACCTGGTGCTGCAGGGTAGAGCACAGCCACCCAGAAAAGCTGCATGCTGCTGCAAGCTCCATGCTGCCCTGGCAACATGTCTCCCACATGCATGGCAGCAGTGAGGAGCACAACCCTGCGCCCCCACTCGTGCTGCCCCCATGGACGCAAGGAACGCATCATCAGGGCAGTGCAGAGCTCACAGTGGCGAGCAGCTTTCTTGTACAGCGGCGCTTTGCCGTGCAGTGCTGGGTTGCACCTGCTAGGCTGTGAAAGCACCAGGGGATGTCAGCAGAGCGAGAGTTGAAGCCTGCAGTAGGCAGCCTACCCCACCCACACCCTGCACACAGATCTGGGGGGCATGTGCCCCCTCCCCACCCCGCTCTCCCCGAGCGTGCACAGCGCCACCCGTGGCCCCGTTCCGATCCCCACTGGTGCCCTTTGGCTGTTCATTGCAGCCCCACACACTGCCCAGCTGGGCCTCAGCCTCAGCCTTGCCCAAGTCCCTCCCTGCCTATAAGGGCCTCAATTTCCCCCCCTCCCCTAATTTATCTGCAGGAGCTGCTCTCCAAGCTGCCCAGCAGTCATTTGCATATACACGCCCATGGCATCCCCTGCCTGACCACCATCCTCCCACTCCCTCCCAGCCACTACAGGCTGGAGCTCTGCCAGCATGCAGAGGTCTCTGCAAAACTGCAAAATCCGCAGGTTTCTCTGCTAAAATGAGAAATCCAGGGGGGAAATCTGCAATTTACTCCATTTTTTTCGTGGGAAATGGAAAACCTGGATTCCTGTTCATCAGTGGACCTTCTTTAGTAATTGGGTGTTTTTGTGCAGTGCATGTTGGGTACCTTGTGTTATCTCTCTCCATGTTCCTCTCCTGGGCAGTGATGCCTCTATAAAATGTTTGGTTCATTTTGAAAATAATCATGGTGGCATAGCGACAGGAGAAGAAATAATCTTAACATGTAGCTAGTTAAGGTTATGTGATGTCTGTAGTAAAAAGTGTAGTGTAGTTCAAAGCAGCACATTATTTTTAGTCACTGAGCAGAAACTTTCATTTTGGGCATCAGTTATCCCCTTTCTTCAATCTTTGAACTTATCTTCATTGGAAACTTAAGTACAACTGAAATGATACTCTTGCAACTTGGCTACATGCAGAGACGATCTGAGCAGGGTGCAGGACCCAGGGCAACTCAGCCTGTGCGGGGCCCTGTCCCTGGATGCAAGGAAGCTGGAGGCAGATTCAGTGGCGGTGGGGTGGCGGCGAGCAGCCAGACACGCCGATTTCAGCGGTGGATTCGGTGGCAGGGGGTACTGAGCAGCCAGACGTGAAGCCGGCGGCAACATGGCATCGCCGCACTGCTCCGCCCGCCTCCGCAGGGCCCTGCCAAGTGTGGGGCCCAGGGTGGTCACCCCAATTCCCCCCCCCCCCCCTTGCTCCCCCAAAGGTACAGCCCTAGCTATGTGCATAAACTCTTTCAATTTGATGAGGCTTTCAACTAGAGTTGGCTAGGACATTCAGGCATTGCAGGTTAAATCCAGAATTAGTACAGGTCATAAACTTCTTAACATAACTACTCTGAGCTGAGAGGACTTATCCAGCATCCACAGCATTAAGTCCTCTGTCTTCCTGCAGAAACACAGGCAAATTCTCCCAGAATTTGCTAGAAAACAACCATTGCTAAAAACCACAGGATGCTTTCCCCAAACTTCAGGCCACAAACAGACGCAAGCAGTTCTAGAGAGAGGATGTAGCAGATCCAGTGTTATATCACAATGCATCTTTTCTCACTCCTGCTAATTTCACTTAAGAGGAGTAGCTTCAGTATAGATAACTAGACTTCTGCAGGGAAGATGCACTCCTTGTTCTGTTTAACACACTGTTAGATTAGAGTCACAGTGAGTTTATTGCAGGATAACTTTTATCTATTCCCTATTTAAAAGACCATTTTCCACCTTAATTTGAAATTTTTAAGAACACCTTTTTGTGCTGAGACTTTTTGCGAACGTGTTCTGACACTATATACCTTCTTCACTGGCAAAAAAACAGGGCATCCTGAGCTAAAAGTAAAGAATATTACTGACCTAACAAAAAAGTCGCTGCGAATACTTGACCTTCAAGGCAAAACAAGTTATCAGTTGGACTTACGAGCCTACACTGCTGGTGGAATAGGCCCATCCAATGGCCTGTATGTGGTGACAAAAGAAGACTGTAAGTTGAAAATTCTTGCTTATTAATGCTTCTTGACTTTGACTCATTTGATCTCTTCACCTTCTTAGCAGACTATGCCTGCAACCCATATTTTTAAACAGCACCAAAACTGTTGCAGGTCAGAAAAAATTCAGCCTGATTACAGCAAACATGAAGCTCATACTAATGTATAGAAGAAAAGCAACTGAAACTAGTCATTGGGGTCTGAAGTCATAACTGCTCAAGACACCTAATAGTTGCAGCGGGCAGCTCAGTAAAAAACATTTGGTGAACGTTGAAAAGGCCTCAAGTGGTTAGAGGGGAATTCAGCTATTAAGGAAATAGTTGCTCCAGTTTCCCCTACCCTAAAGCGGTAAAAGTCAGTAGTGAATTTTAAATGTGTATTCAAGTTTTGTTCAATTCCTCTCAAAAAGACGTAGCAGTAATGCACAAAAAAAAAGCAGTGAAAATTACAAGAAGCCACAGAGTTTCTGGAGGGTAGCAAATGGGTAAATTACGTTTACTGACAAACAGGAAGGGATGTGCATGGAAGTGCATGAAACCACACGCTGTGCACAGTAGGTAAGAGGCACTTGTATAAGGGAGCAAGGTCAATAAACAGTACTGAGATGCTCAGGGAGGTAAAAGACATTATGAACTTTAAAAAAAAAAAAAAAAAAAGGGCAGTGCATTTCAGGCCAAGCAAGCTGAATAGTTTGGGGGAAAAAAAAAAAAAAAAAAAAAAGATGGCCAGGTAAAGTTGTATAAAAAACACTCAGCGTTTAGCTGTATGGAATAAAAACTAAAATGGGGGTGTGCCATTCGTGGGGAAACGTCAAAATTTGGCTAATGACTTTTTTTTTTATAACTTATAATACCTTTACAATTTGTTTCTCCAGCTGTGGGGCTAATCATTGCCATCCTCATCCCAGTGGCAGTGGCTCTTGTGTTTGGGGTGGTGACCAGCATCCTTTGCTACCGAAAAAGAGAATGGTAAATACTCTTATTTGGTTCTATTGTGCTGCTCTGGTTTGTTTGTGTGTGTAGTAATTCTTTGCCCTCTCGAAGCATATGATTATTCCAGCAAGCTGTTTTGTAAGGTGGCATCTCCATTTTTTGCATGATGGGGTAGGAAGGAAGAGAGGCAAAGAAGTTGTATTTTGGCCAAGTTGCACACAGTAAGGTTGTGGATGTGCGGGCTGGGAGCGCTCTGGGCCCTTTTTCGCACCGCGCGGGCTGTGGCCAGCAGCCCGGACACGCTGGGTCGGAGAGAACAGGCGACACGCTGGAATTAGGCACGGACGCTTAATGGTTGATTCAAGATTGTTTACTTACACCGAAGATGGTCGCGGTGTAGGCTGGACAGTTTCCCAGGCACAGCTCCGCTTAAATCCTCGTTTGAGGACTCAGACAATATTCGGATCACTCCCACGGAGTTGTCAAGGCTCCGTGGATCCTTTTGCACGCAGGGAGAGGGCTACGTCGAGAATTGCGAACGGCAACGGGGAGAGGCTAGAGGCTGATCAGACCCCTGTTGCCTGCTTGAAATGCACTGGGTCCAATAGGCTCCGCAGCGCTTAGAGATCTTCGTATAGCGTGAAGTCTCCTCCTCCTGGTGTTCGTGGAGTTCTCCAACTTGGGCGGAAACCACTCAAGCCTTTTATACGGCTAGCAAGCCAATCGCTAGCTGCCACGTGTGAATAATTTCACGCAAGCCAATAATGGGGCTCGAATTATAATACAAATGGCGGGAACTCTTTGCAAAGTGCATTTCTGTGCTGCAAAGAAGAAATGCACACTGCAAAGAAAGCTACAAATTGGCGGGAAAATAATTCAGTGGTGCCAAAGCGCGCACACAACAAAATCACACCTTTGGGTTGTGACAGTGGACACACACAATAATTAAACCATTCCACATGTGGTTTAGAACGGAAGCATACAGGAAACCTATCTGGACTCCCCTTTTGACCTCTTTAGATACTACAGTGTTTGATCCAGCATCATTCAGTGCATCCTTCAGGTGCAGCAATAACTGGAGCTGGAAAGAGTTGTTCAACTAGCTTGCAACTTTTGGCTGTGATGGAGAAAACCAACAGGTACTCCAGTCAAGCCAGTGCAATCAAGCCATGTACAAGTGTATGTACAAGTCATGAAGATGGCAGTTTGGGGGTACCACCAGCAGTACAGGGCCAAAATGAAGATCCTTAATTTGCATCTCAGGACAGCATGAGATGGCAGGTCTCCAGGTCATAACCGCATACCACAAGGGGACATAACATGGCATGGATCCTCTTGGGGTTGCATAGTGGATGCAGGCAGCACCCATCCGCAGTCAGTGGCAAGAGCAGTCCTGTGGACCCCCCTCTGATTCCTATTATCTTCAGGGACCTGTACACCTTTTCTGGGCACAGGCAACCAGCTCTTACACCTAGCAGCACTCCAGCGCTCACTCTATCATTCTCGAAGGACTCGGATACCTTAGACATGCTGCAACCACTGTTTTTTTCTGAGGCCGTGGCAGCATGTATGAGCAGTGATGCCTCAGCCTACAGTGACTCCAGTTCACTTGACCCCTCTCATGATCATAAGACCATCCCCAGCCCCTCCGCACTGAGGCATACCCCACTACCCTGGGGAGGGGGAAAGTGATTGGGGAACATGCTTGCCTCCATGAGCCCCCTCAGATGACTAAATTTACCTGAGGTGTTTTTCCACAGGGAAAGGTCTTGCTTGTTTAAAGGAAGCTTTTGATTTGGCTCATTTAGCACTTTTTTTTAAAGAACCTCTTTCCACTGGTTGTTTAATAAAGTATTTTATTTTCAAAGAAACCAGCTGTTCTTACTCCTCACTGGAGCACAGCCCCTTGCTTTGCCCCTAGCCCTGAACATGTAGGTGTTCAAGTATTCACCCCCACGACTCCAACTCAGTCAAGCACACTTCAAGGGTTCAGGCACAATTTAAGTTTATTAAATTAACGCTTAAATGAAAAACAGAAAAGGGAATGTATGCCTAATCCCAAATCACCTCTCCCCTCCCCTTCTTCCCGCCCCACAAGTCATCCCATACCTGCCTTTGGTCTCTGGGATTGGAAGTTGCCTGCTAGGTCTTCATGCACAAGCGTGACCCTGGGCATTTGGAAGCCATGGCAGCCCAGGCATCTTGGAAAACTCCCCCCTTGGTCTTGCAAATGTTATGAAGGCTGTAGGCAGAGATGGCAAAGCAGGGCACATAGCACTTGGTGATATCCAGGGAAGCCCCCAGTGACCTCCAGTGTATCTTCAGGTGTCCAAAGGCACACTCCAGTCAAGCAACAGCTGCTGATGGGGTAGGCAAACAGTTCCTTGTGGGCATCCCAGGAACCTACGTAAGGCTTCATGAACCAGAGGTGGAGTGGGTGTGCCAGATCCCTGATTAGCTGTGGTGGAAACAGTCGCTACTAGCAGTTTGATGCTGGGAACATGGGGGCAGACTTTCCCTCACTCTCCTCACTCCATCAGGCCAGAGAACTGATCTTGTTGGTCTATGATGCGTCATAGCAAAGAAACTCTTGGGAGTCTATGTTTTGGTGTGTAGGGCACAGAATGGTGTTGTGGGTGTTGTCACTGGCCCTGATGCAGTTGCAAGTCCCATATGGCTGAATTTGACCACTACCTCCTGAACACTGACAGGGCAGATTAAGCAGATGCTAGGACTGGTTTATCATGAGACATGCCTCCCACCCTGCTGATCAGTTTGGAGTTGGTTCCACATGGGTCCAGAGTCCATGGCATGTCATATGGCATCATCCTCATCTGCCATGTCAGTTTGGGCAGAAGCATTGAAGCAAAAAAAGGCTGTAGACATAACTGAGGACATAACAAGGCAGGTCAGCCTGCACTTCCAGAGAGCTGTGATCTAGGCCAAGGATCCTGCTGAGGAAGCAGTGGAAGACCTGCAGTCTCTGCCTGAAGCAACACTGCTGGGACATGAATTGTTCCAGCTGTGCAGACATGGGGCATGCACAGCAGTGACCTGATAAGGCTCCATCCTGTGTTCCCTGGTCTTGGAGTCAAACTGAGCAGACACCCCAGCACAAGGGTGCTGAGGGGTGATGGTGTTGGGGGTGAGTCTGGGGTCATCTTAGGGGCCAGCCAGTCACCACTTTCTTCCATATTTGGGAATCTTTGGGAACATCCAGAGACTTGGCCACTGTGGGGCATGCTGGGTGAGGCTCTGTGTCCAGCCCCCTGGCTGCAGAGCAGCAGTGCTTCAGGCTGACACTCGACCAGTATACATCTGCATGCCTCTTAACTAATACGGAGGGGGAGGGGGGTGTTTAAACAGTGGAGCACTAAATTAAGCATACACTTAATTTGCAACCTGTCCACAAGATCAGTCTGATTTGCCATTCACTTTCGTGTTTCCACGAATGTGAAACTCTAAGGTGAAA